TCAGGAAATAAACCTGCCTTTTTTGCCTGGAGAGAAATATTATCTTTATCTTCCAACCTGGATTGGATAAAAACAACTTCAACAAAATAATACAAAACAAGAGATAATAAAAGATGTGTAGAAATACTGTAGAAAATTGCAGCCCAGCAGTCATGGCTGATATAATTGTCACCACTGGTTGTGTGAAACAAACCTTTAAGGCGTAAAGGTAATATCACCTTAGTTATTTCATCTCGAAGTATCTTAAATCTGTAACCCAGAATGGATGCAATATTAACAGTTCATTGTTTCAAGTACTATCACTTGGAAAGACATTTGCATGAAATTTAACCTCAAATAAGTTGTATTGGGTAGAAAGCAATATTCCTGCAAATATCCTAATGTGCAGGCTGTTTCTAACCACACTAAGGGATCTGAAAGAAAGATTACAGGGCCGGGGATTTAGCTTTAGCTCAGAGGGTCTGCCACCTGCCTCGCAAGCGCAAGGTCCTGAGTTTGATCCCCGGTACTGGAAAAAAAAGATTGTTGTGAGAAAATTACAAATTTACGCCTTTTAATTCTTAGCCTGACACATAGCAAAATCATAGATTTGTAGGGGCTTCTGGTATTACCTGTTAATCTATAAGAGTGCATTCACTAAATCAATAGCTTGATATTTAGTACTGAATTTTCCCAACTATCTTCAGTAAATGGGCCACAACTTGAAAGACAAATGTAATCAATATCAACATTGCTATCAAATTAAGCTCATGGTGGGTTGGGGATTTAGCTTAGTGGTGCCTCCAGGAAAGCGCATTGTCCCAAGTTTGATAGACAGTACAAAAAGAAAAATTAAGCTGATGGGATCATTGCCATCTTCTGGTATTTACCTCTGTCATGAAGGGTAAATTATCAAGTTGAATGGGCATGAAGAATGAATCGCTACTCATAGATTTGTTTCCTTGGTCTTCAATGCTATTAAGCTCTGTGGATTTGCCAGGTAAAATAATGCTTTAGATTTATTATTTTTTAGTGAGGGAGACTCCTGGTTTTCCCATGACCCATCCCATGATTCTCCTAAATGAATTAGTTATCTCTTTAATCCTGATGTCAGTTGACCCTGAAAGCAAACCTAGGCTCTTATTTTTCAAGGTGTTATAGCAATGTTAACTTAATTTACATCCTTACCAGGTCTATTTTATGACAATTCATTGACTGGCATATGAGGATGATGGGTATCAACAGGAATATAGAGGAATGCAGATATTTCAAATATTTCTGATTTTTCCAGAACAAAATCATAGTGGAATTCATTGTCAGCAAAAGTTATCCCTCCTTTTGTGTCTTATAGTACTATTGTGTTCAAAGGCACTAATGACCTGAGATGTCATAGTTTAATTTAAAGAGTATTCCAGATAACCACTTTCCCCATGCCTGTAAATATTTACTGCCTCTTAAATAAATAGCCATCCCAGCATAATGTAGGGAGCCTACTAAAAAGTCAAACCTTGCGGTGGCACACTTCTGTAAACCTAGCCTCTGGAAGGATGGGGCAGGAGAATCCCAAGTTTGAGCCTGCCTTAGACAACTTAGCAAATTAGGGAGAACTTGTCCCAAAATAAAAACTTAAAATTGGCCGAGAATATAAATGAATGTGAAGTTCTTGGGTTCAGTCCTTATTACTCCAAAAACCCCCACCAAACTTCAAATGAAATGACAAATGCAAATAGTATTGTAGTAACCTACTTATTATGCTGACAAATGCCAGAAAAATATGTGAGAATAATTACTTAGGTCAATATTTCATACAGACATATATTTCTAGAGATCATGGAAGTAACAGATACGCTCAAGCTTATCCTCAAGGTTATAATTTTAAATTACTTATTTTAATGAAGAAAAATAAATCCTAAGATGTAGGGTGTTAGTGACAGGGGGCAGTCTCATCATATTCAATTCACATACATATGTCCTATCTATGTAACCAGAAAAAACCCAGAGGAAAATCCTCCTTAAAACTATTGACATATTCACAAAGTGGTTAACTAACAGCTTTAAAAAGTATGGTAACCTCCAGCCTGAAATGGAGATAGTTTATTAAAATGAACTTCATTGGAAAGGATGCATAAGAGGAAGCCAGAGCCTATTTTATAGCACTTAACTGACAGTAGTAAGTTGTGGTTACTTATTGATCAGTAAAGCAGAAGTAGTAGTCAAATTTGCATGGTGCATTTTAGTAATGGAAAACATCATGGAACTCTAAATACTAAAACAGATAATTAAACTTTTAAGTATTTCATTGGTCTGTATAATTGAAAGGACTCTAAGATGAGAAAAGGACAAATGACTCAACCATTATAATAGAGGGTAAATTCCATAGCCAATGACAGACTTCAGTCACTTCACAGAGCCAGAACCCATGAAGAATGGTTTTTGTAGAAGGGTCTTACATTGCTATTAATATCAAAATCTTCCTCTACTCTTTCTCAAATGATGCATGTTCTTATGCCAGGGAAAAAAAACTGTCCAGTTAAGTCACTGAAACAGATTATTCAAGGACTGTGTGGCTTCATCTCTGAGTTAATCTTAATTCCTATAACTATAGAATGCTGCTGTGTTCAGTTATCAGAGTAGAGAAAAACAGAGCGGAAAGAAGTTTCATTGATAAACAGTGATTATGTGCTAGTCTACTTTATAGTGATTTTCTTGCATATGTAAAATTTTCCTGAGCAGATAGTTAAAATACAGAAATCCAAGTGTATCCCTCACTAACAATAAATCTAAAGCATTGTTTTACCTGGCAAAACTACATAAAATAGTATCTTCAAAGACCTAAGAAACAAATATATGATGAGTGATTGATTCCCTATCCCCATCTAACTCAACAATTTACCTTTTCTAACACAGATGAATATTAGGAGACAATGAGTCAATCAGCTGAATTAGGTAGCAACTTCAGTTGCATCTATCTTTCAAGTTATGGCCCATTCAGTGGAAAATATTGGGAAAATACCAGTACTAAATACCAAGTTGTTAATCTGGTGAATGCAATTTTATAGATTAAGCTATAGATTAAGCTTCTGGCACTGCCAGAAATAGTTGTCATAACTTGTCACATAAAATAGTATACTCTCATTTTCTGGGACTTTGTCATAACTTATTCCTTGAAGCAGCAAACCACAGCCTACAGGCCAATGATAACGCAAGAACTATGTTTTTCATAGCCTTCAATCTAACAATGTCTTTTACCTGTTAGAAGGTTGACAGGAGGAAGAGGAGAAAAAAAAGAAAGAAAGAGAAGTGTATGAGAAGTATATGACGATATGCCAACTAGATTTTTTTTTAAAACGTTTCAGATTCAGTATTTCAAGAAAAGTACTTTTAAGATACACATTAGTGAATATTGCACAAGTTTTTAAGGTAAATATATTCCAATTTTCTCTTTTTGGTGATGACAAGTACTGTATTACCAGTACTGTATTTTTATAAAGATTTGACCCGGCCACTCTGTTCAAAATTATGTGGTATTTTAACAATCTGTGAAAATGTAACTAGATTTCAGAAGAATATTGAAATAAATAAAAAATTTGGAAACTGATCTTTTGAAATTTTTGTCTTGAATTTCGTTATGGGACATAATGTAAAATATTACATGTGAAAATGCTCAGCTACACATAAGAAAACTTGGAAATCAAGCCATATTAATCTCTTTCAAAATTGTTCCAATAAAGAATAAATTTGCTTTAAAATTTTATATAGAAATACAAAATCAAGACAGATAATTAACATTAGATGAGAAAGAAATTTAGCAGTTTAAATAATATTTGAATTGGACTGAATATTCATTTATTTTAAGATATGTGTACATTATTATAAAACATTAATTTTGAATTATACAATTCTTCTAACCACTACTTAGCATAAACTTGGGATAAGATTTTCAGATCACTTATTAGAAGTATTAAATAAATAAATATTTGCCAATATAATAAATGTAATTAAAATAAAAGTAATATCTCTACCATTAGTAAGATTGGTACAATGTGATGAATATAATAAACAATAATGCCATCAAATAGTTAGAGAAATGTGAAGAGATTCACTATAACAAAATGATAAAAATTTTAAGGTGATGGGTATGCTAAGTACCCTCAGGTGATCACTAGACAGTGTTTACACAAATCAGAATATCACATTGTGATTCATAAATATATACAAATATATATGTCCATCAATCAATAATTATAACTTATTAAAATATTATGTGATGTAAAACATATTGTTTCTTTTTAATCCTTTCATTTCTATTTCTCTATGAAAATTTAAAATTTTTTTGCACTGTTGTAAATATATAATTTTAAATATTAAATATTTTCTTTCTCACATGCCCTGCTATCAAGTTTGGCCCATCAATTACACATAATACACATTTAGAAATTACATTTTTGTATTAAATTAAGATGTGTTATGTACATGTACCACCCCACCATAAGGAATGTAATCATTAGGTACTGCAAAGACATACTAATTTAAAAAGAAAAATTAAAAAATTGAAACAATCGGCATAATTAAAATACTATTAAATTGATTTGCTCCAAGTTTCTACTAAACATTGGGCAAAAAAATCATATTTCCCATTTTTACATCCACTAGTAATAAAGTAATCAAATCTAGGTAATTTATTAAAATTTACATAGAATACCTAACAAATTAAATCTCTAAATTTCAGACCATGAAATGAACAGAAAAATTGAAGTCCTACTTTTTCTCTGAGAGACACTTGAGAGGAAATCAGTAGAAATAAAAAGGCAAATTAATTTAACCATAAACAAAAAATATATTTCTTGTGCTTTCAGCATGAGGGACAAATAGCAGTAAGGGTTAGGATTTGGGGATTGGGCAGGCCACAGTGAAAGTTATAAATCAAGGGAAAGGTCATATAATTTTGAATATAGCAGCAGAAGGTCACACTCTACTCTTGCTTCTTGTACTCATAAACTTACTAATGTCATTAGAGAGCTTTACTTCATTGAGAAAGCTTCAATCCTCTTGGTAATGTGTTTAAAAGCATCTTTCACTTGTTTGTTTCTCAGTGTATAAATGAAGGGATTCAATATGGGAGCAACAGAAGTACTGAGCAGAGCTATCCCTTTATTTAAAGACACTCGTTCCTTTGCAGAGGGTTTCATGTACATGAAGATGCAGCTGCCATAAGAAATGGAAACAACAACTATGTGGGAAGAACATGTGGAAAAAGCTTTCTTCCTCTGCTGAGAAGAAGGTATTCTCAGAATGGTCCTGATGATGTTTGTGTACGAGAGGATCACTAATACTAGTGTCACAAGGAGTGTCAGAATGGCTGAGAGAAGTATCATAAACTCTATTGTGTCTGTGTCTGTGCAAGAGAGCTGCAGTATAGGAGAAACATCACAGAAGAAATGATCGACCATGTTGGTTGCACAGAAATCAAGCTGGAGACCCACAAGGAGTGGTGGAAATATGATCAGAAAGCCAGACACCCATGAAGCAAAGACTAGCAAGTTGCACACTCTGCTGCTCATGATAGTCATGTAGTGTAGGGGCTTGCAAATAGCCACAAAGCGGTCATAGGACATAGCAGCCAGGAGAAAAAATTCAGTTGCCCCCAAGAGGATAGTAAAAAACAGCTGTGCTGCACAGTCACTGTAAGAAATGCTTTTATCTCCTGTTACCATGCTGACAAGAAATTTGGGGATACAGACAGTTGTAAATGAGATTTCTAAAACTGAGAAATTTCGGAGGAAGAAATACATGGGGGTCTTGAGATGAGAATCCAATAGGGTAAGGGTGATGATGGTTAAATTCCCTGTAACACTCAACAGGTAAGTGAAAAACAGGAGAAGAAAAATGACTACCTGTAACTGTGGATCATCTGTCAGTCCAAGGAGAATAAAGACTGTCACTGTTGTGTGGTTTCTCATGGCTGATTTCTATTTTAAATAAACAAGAAGAGAAAATTAGAAGCAAAGGGGTTGGATCTACATGAGATGCTTCTTGAGATCATTCACAAAAATATTGCTAACCACATCCAACCTCCTTCAGTAGTCATCAGTAGTAGCTTATGAAAAGTGTTCATATAATTTTTATTCAAAACTTCACTAAGTATAAATTTTTTAGTTTGTTTGAGTTTCCCAAAGTATATAAATCCAAGCAACCTACAGGGATAATATAGTGTATTGATAATGACATAAAAATATAAAAGCAAAAATTATAACAATTTAATTTTTTTGGTAACATTTGATTTTTCCAACATATATACTTCATATTAAATTATTTTATATTATTTGATGACTCAATCTTCTCCCTTGCCTTAAAATCAACATGCAGTTGACTTAAATATCTCCAGATCACTGAGATTTTCATATCTTCATCAAACTTCTGAATATTCGTCAAGATTTGCATCTTCATGACCACTACTATTTCCTACTTTTCCCTACTTTTTCTGAAGATTTGAATTCATTTTCTTTTTGTTTTCTGAGTCTGCCATGTATTTTTTTCCTCTATATTTACCTTCCATAGACATAAAGAAAGATAAATTTGAGTCATTCACAGGAAAATAGGTGCACATTGAAAACATAATGTTAAGTAAAACAAATCAGACACACAAGCTTAAATATCACATAGATTCTCTCATATGAAAAACCTAAAATATAAAGGAAGAGCAAAGTATAAGTTAGACAAGAGGAAGTAGAGGTAGATATGTCTTCAATGGGAAAGGGATTAAGAGATGGAGGAACGGGCCCAGGGATTTAGCTCAGCGGTTTTGCCACCTGCTGCGCAAGCACAAGGACCTGAGTTCGATCCCCGGTACCAAAAAAGAAGATATGTTATGTACATGTACCAACTGCACACAAAGAATATTGAAATTATGCATTGCATATATACAAAAATGAAAAAAACCAAAAGATGAATGGAAGGAGGGAAGGGAAAGGGGATTTAAAAAAGGAATTCAGGTGTAGTATGTACATGCACCAATTACTTAGAAGAAATGCAAACATTATGTACTGCAAACATGTACTAATAAAAAATGAAAAAAATCCTTACATTGACAAATCATAATTATATACATGTACTTATGTTGATTACCCTCTTTTCTTTCATATACACACAAGTAGATATAAAGCATCCTCATGTATTATGCATCTTTAATTATATAGTGTGGTTTATTGACTATTTGCAGTGCCAGAAAGTACCTACAAAATAAAAAGTCAAATATACAAGAATCTACATGCTTCTCCTTTTTACCATGGTAGCCTCTTCTGTCTTATTCACATCCCCCATCAATTTTCATCCTAGTACAGCATATAACATGTAAAAATTATGTTAACTTTTAAAACATTTTTCTTCTTTTTTTTGTCTTCTTGTAGACCATGAGTAGGTCTTTGTATTTATCACCTGAGAAGTCAATCACTGATATTTCATAAAGAACAATAATGTTTTCCCTAAAAAGAATATCAGATTATACATTACCTTGTATTTGAAATTTATCACATTTCATATGTTCCAAATCTGGTATTACAAATTGCACAGACATTTCAAGTGACTATAAGTGATTACAAAATAACTAAGACTGTTGTTCTAAACTGTCCACAATTTTGTCCTTCTTTTTCTTTTACTTTCTCATTCTCAGGCCAATTTCTAAAATTATCTGTATGTTTGAACTTTGGCCATTTAAATATAATTAACTCATTTGTGAGATTTTTTAAATTTCAAAACTTACAATCCATATTAAAGGCCAAAAAGCATATGGGCAAAACCAAAGATAATAGGAAGTCGGGGTCACTTTTTTAAATGGGAAGGAGGTCAAGAGATGGGAGGGAAGGAAGGGAAAAAGATTTTCAAAAAGTTGAAGAAAATGGTAACAACTTTTGCAAATGGAAAGGGGAAAAAGAGTTGGGGAGAGCAGGGAAGGATAGGAGGGAAGGGTAAAATAAGAATTAGAATGTGGTATGTACTCCCACTAATTACTCATCATGCACTGCAAATATGGACTGATGAAAAAGGAATAAAAGTCACTTATTAGAATCCATTAAGATGAAAAAGCGTATGGAAACCTCAACAAAACTTGAGTTATATAGGATGCAAGTATAAAGTCAGTAGATTCATACTAAATTTAAATTACAAAATGATAAAATTCTTATTGTATACTTGACAGCATTGGTTTCTTAACCCTGTAATAGAAAGCATGCTAGCTGATGTTAAAATGATCACACATATGTTTCTCACCATCATTATAGTCCCAAAGGCATCTGAAGTTGATTAGATAATTTATTAATGAGGTAAGAGATTTCTTTAAAATGTGAAAATATGATTTTATATGAAAATTTAAAATTATATTGATTAAATATAACAACTTAATAAATATTAGAGGAACTCAAGTTCAGGACAAATCCATTTTTTTCACTTTCATATTTTCCAATATTCATTAGTACAATATATGTTAGAGCCATATGCAATTGTAATTATCAGAATAAAAATGCAATCATTTAATACAAGTTGTATATTGTGAATATCTGTTCAAACTCGATTCTTACACAATAAAAAGTTTCAACTCTTATCATACACCTGATTCCTTAGTATAAATTCCAAAACAGCTTAATGTATGTGTCCTAAAAATTTACTTTTACTTTGATGACATAAAATTTCATTGATTTTACAAAAAAAAATCATTTTTCTTCTAACTTCATGTAGCAAAGCTAGTATGATTAAATAAATACATAATTTTTCCAAACCTTAATTTTTGTAGTAGTAATTTCATTCTCAATTGTCTTCTACAGTAGGTCTCACAACAGGCAATTTCTCAATGTTTCATATCCCACATATTATGTTGGTCTAAGCCATATTTTTAACTTCTCATTCAAAACTACTACATTAGCTCCAGCAGTATGCACTCAGGGTGTATAAGTTCAAATATTTTATCATGCCACGAATTTTATTTCATTTCACTTCTCATGATATTTTTATTAAAAAAGAACATTCTCCGATGTATGTAATATTAAATTTGGAGTACATTTTCTTTGGTTACACATAAAAACATTTTATATTTTATTTCCTAAGTCTACAAGGTGGAGGGACAAGCTTGCCTCCCTGAGAAATACAATAGCTTATTTTGTAGTTTGAAGGTTGCAAAGACTATACTTCTTTTGTACGCTATACTGCTAATCCCAGGGGGATTACTTGACAAAAACAAATTTTAAAAAATAAACCTATTCCCTGGAGGACACTATTTAGGATTTTTAAAATATATTACAATTATTTACTGAATGAAGAAAGCTTTTAATCCATAAACTCTAGTTTAAAACAGTACAAACTACTTTTTGAGGTGGCTCTATGTTTTAAATCCTAAAGGGGTTTTAACAAAACCTAAGCTTACATGTGCACAAGTGTACATTGCAAACAAGAAATATGAAATTCGCTAATCTGTAGCATGGAAATACTTAGAGGCTCTACCAAAATTCTGAATTCAGATTGATTCAAAAAAGGGCTAACTTACATTTTATTTCTCTGGTTAATCCCCCGAAGGCCACTTGAGTGGACAATTAAGAAACTGAGTCAAGTTTAGAATGTAGACAGCAAAGGCATGTTATCATGAACAAAATAGAAAGTGGGATTCCATTAAAGGTCAGGATCCTAACTGGATTGAAAGAAAGGGCCATATTGAATTTCTCTAGGCAGACACATGACAGTCAAGTTTGTTTGTATCTGTTCTCTATATGTCCACATCTAATCAGTAGAAAAATCTTGTCTATTATAAATATAAATTATATTTCAAATACATTTCTTTTTCTACTTTTCCCCTGCTCAGTACGCAAACAATAGCTGCTATAAAAGACAAATTTTAAAATCACTGACAATACACATGAGACAATTAAAAAATAGTGAATGAAATATAAAATGTACAGAGCATGCAATTAGCATGATTATAAAGCTTATGTTCACGACCAACCATACCTACATGAGCAGCACTCAGGATGAAAATCAGTAATTTACCAGCGATCCAGAATCCTTGCTTTTGCTCCCACCATCCTTACTTTCAATAGAACAAGTGACTTTTGCCAGTTTTAACAAATAGAAAGTTATCTCTATAAAATTTAAAGTCAAGTATGCAGTATGAATGGCACTGATTTTGTTTGCTTGTTTAATGGTAAGAAAGATTGTTTTACTGAGTGACTACTCAGAGATTCTGCCCAATTGATGCTCTGCCTTCTTGAATATAGATTCAGTCAGTCGGCAAGTGAAGGAAAAGGATGAATACAGAATCATATGGGAGGTTTTTATTTATAGATCTGGAAATAATTTTTCTATCTTTTCATGAAACATATTTGAAATGGAGGTTCTGACTGGTCCTAATTACCCATCCTAATTTCCTGTATTTCCATTTTTTCTTTACTTGCCATGTTATCCACTGTAACTTTTTTCCATTCCTGTAGTCTTTGTTACTTCTTTTCCAATCCTCACCTTCACTCCCCACAATCCCCATCAAATTCAAGATCCTATATTAAAAGTCATGTTCACAAAAATGTCATTTTGGGCAAACTACGTTTGAGGAGACACCTCTATTCCTTACAGTCTTCATCTTGGGTTTTTTTTTTTTTTGTCTCAATCAATATTTATTTCTACATGTCATTTCTTCACTTTTTAAAAATTTTAATGCTTCCCCTACAAAATTCTATGCCACCTCATGGCAGAGACTGTCCATTGTATTATTCATTTCTAGATAGTTAAGGTCAAGAACATCTTTCACATCAAAGAGAAATTAAATATATATATATTTTTTTTAAGGGAAAAAAATGTGATCTCTTTGGAAGTGAGACCAGTGGAAAATTTTGAACAAGATGAAAAACAAAATAAAACAATGTCATAGACATTGACAGCAAGTGGAACCCTTGGCAGTGAGCATGGAGAAAGCTTGGATGAAATACAGCAGTGGTTGTTAAGC